TAAGCTGCTGGATGTCTGACAATGAAATCGGGCATGCGCTCGACATGGTCAAGGGGGTGTGGGAAGCTCTTCTTCTCGAAGGGCGCAACATTTTATCATCGAATTGGGCAGCAGCAGCCAGCAGCAGCTCAGCCCTTCAAGGCCCTTTCGATCCTCCCCCCAAAGTCCCAGCCCTAACTAAGAATCTTATGAGACCACCACCACCCTCTTACCCAAGAAAGGAAAATTACAAAAAACGCACACACGCACACACACAACACACACACACACACACACCAAAGAATTCCGCAGACAGGTGAGCTGCGGAGAAGAGGGCGTGGAACTGCAGCGCATCATACAGCTCCACCTGTTCCACAGTCGAACCCTTCTTGTCATGAGAGCCCCCTGAGTGCCTTCGACTCTCACTCCTACGTGCCCTGTTAGGGTTCAGGATTTACGACCTTAAGAAATGAGTCCCTCGGCCTGGCCAACAGAAACCAGAAAAACGGTGCAGCTCACCTGTCACTGGCGTCCTTCCTATAGCCCAAAAGGCACGAAGCAACGTCTCACCCTCTCCGCATCCTTATTCTAAAGCTCTACGAATCCCTAGTCAGGCACACCCAGAACCCCATCGAGACCTCAAGAAGCGGTTTGGTACGAACCCCCTGCTACCAAAAAAAAAGCTACCAACCTCCCCTCCTGACGCCCTGAAGCCCCCGTAAACCTGGCAAGCTCGGGTGCCGGAGTCGAGACGCAGCCTTTGCAAGCAACCCATGGGCCTGCTTGGCAAAACCCACGGCGAAGAAGCGCCTTCCGGCCTACAGGGCGACTTAGGGGCACATTGGGCCAGAGCGTGCGACATGTGTGCCTATGCATGACGATGCGGACATGCATTTTTCTAACCTCAAGTTCGACTCGTTCGATCTGTTTGGGCCCTCGCCAACGCCGTTGAAGCTTCAAGTTTGGCTTGCAATTGCAGATGTTGGTGTTCTGGCATCCAAAACCTCAGACGCGGCACTTACAATTACCTTTGAAATAGCATCTCGGCTGTAAGAACAAGGCTTACACATGCCTTTCCTAAACCCATTTTTATCTTACGGCAGGACTCCACACACTAAACGACCGAAAACCCTAAACTCCCTAGACACCCCCCTAGAAGCCCCCCCCCCCCTCCCCCCAAAGAAAGGGATGCTTCCGACCTGCAGGCTCCGAGCCGGCTCCGTTAGTCGGAGCAGGTGGACGTCATCGTGGCTCCTGGCTCTTGAGTCTCAGCTCCGACTCTCCGACTCTCCGACTCTCCGACTCTCCGACCCGACCCCGATATAGGCTGCCTTTTTTAGGGTTTCGACTCTGACACTGGCATGCGGGTTTAGGGGGATTCCACCTTTATATTGGGCTGTTGATGCCCTGTTCTGCCACCCCATGAACTCTGTGAAGGTCGAATCTCGGGCATGGTTGTGCCTGTAGGGGCCTGCACAGTGGGCTTAATTACGCTTTACAGTTCAGCCTTTGTCAGGGTTGGCGAAGTTTCGGGGAGTTCAAGGCTTCAGGACTTAATTGTGCTTGAAGAAGGACTGTGACTTGGGCAGGCTCACGCAACCCAACTTCTGACGAGCACCCCGGACCGCCTCAATCCTCGTAGGAACGTCCGTTGGGGAAGGGAGGGGGCCCTGTGGAAGCCTTCCCCTCCTACTACCAGGCTAGCATTGCCAACCTCGTCGCGGCAGCTCATTTCTAAGCCTTGTCCCCGTGTGATACTTCATGTACACATGGCATGAGTACATGCTCGACCTTGCTTGGGGCGTAGAGTTTCGGGTTCAGTCGTCCAAGAGACGAGAAACAAATTACCTTGGATCCAGTCATATGCAGCCCATCGTCCTCAAGGAAAACAGCCGCACCAGTGCCTTGCTTTTGAATGCCGGAGGCAAGGTAAAAATGACTGGACGGGGACATCTCTCGAAAGCTCTCAGGGCCTTTTCCAGGTCCGAATGAGGCCTCATTGACATAAGATCTGGATCTACATCGAAGGTACGAGTAAGCAGTGTGGAGCGATCAAGACCCTGGAGCGAGATGCCTATGGATTCCAAGCCACAGAGAGAGAGGGAGAGAGAGAGAGAGCAACAAGACATCACTCACTCGTCCCAGCTTCTGGCGAGCCCTTGTGCAAGTAGGCCATCAGTGGGGCGGCGCTCAAACCCAGGAATTGTTCACTGGGATTCTCTTGGCCCGACTCCTCAAAGGCGGAGGCAGGGTTCCGAGGTTGGAGATCACATCAATGACTCTTGCTGAGGAAAAATGCGTGCTAAGTTCTGCCTGCGTGTGGCCGATGGCCGATAGGCCACTCGCAGCCAAACGTCCTATTGCACACCAGCCTGTCGCACTGCACTGGCCTGTATTAGAAGGACTCCCATGCAAGCAGGACATCCGTGGCCAAGGCTTGTGGGCCGGCTTGTTGGCCCCGTCACAACACTGACATGAGAGTCTGTGCCGAGGCTCTGCACGCTCGGACACAGGTAGCTGCGGCAAAGGAAGCAGCCGCGCTTGCAGAACAGCTTTGTCCTTCGAAGGCCACAGTGCCAAGACAGGAGCAACGTGTGGAGCAACATGTTCTCTTTACCACTTTCTTGGAGCCCTGCGCCATCCCTCACGAGATCCAAGCGGCATACTTCGACACCAACTCCTTCGCGGCCGTCGGATCTTGCCTTGCATGAAAGGATACGAAGAGGAAACCCTCGAACCATCGTTTCCATCGAGCTTTAGTCCCCCGGGGCAAAGCTGCTTTCCTGAATGCCAGCCCCCTTCCTTCTTCGAGAAAGTTCCGCCCTGAGATTCCCGTTTAAGCTTGGGTTTGGAGCCTACCCCAACAAGCCCCCAATACTGAACCTCCGGTTCGAAAAGCAAGAACCACACGAATCTGAAAATCTCGCGATCGTGGGGTTGAGATTTCATGGTATAGAGTGGCTATAAATACACAACTATCTGTATATATCTATACATATAATGAGCTGTTCATTCTTAAGAACAATGCAACGGTACTAAGGATCAGAATAAACGTCGGCTTCCTGATCTTTCGCCTGGGCATCGCTTTGCAGACTCTCGCTTTTTTCAACTTCATAGGCACACATAAACATACATAAATATGTAGAGAGAAAGGAACGCTGATATTGCCTCATGTATATAGTGTATATACAAATACACACATATACAGGCCACATTTCACAAGACTCGGACATTCGACCTTTAAAACGCTTCGACCCTGCCAAAAACTTATGCCATATCCTCGGCGTTGCAAGTCCCAGAGTTGGAACCCATCGGTGTAGCCGACGACAAGCAGCTGACGGAGGGTCTCCTCGCAGGAATCCGAAACACCATTGCCTGTACTCCCCTTCGATTCTTCCTTTCGTATTCTTAATATTCCTTTGGCAAAAAGAATGCCTGAAGGGGCCATTCGCACATGACAGTAGACAACCCTTTACATCAGCTTGCGTCAATCTACTATTGGGCGGTGATGCGACCCTTCGCGGTTAAGGTACGTAATATCACAGCTGCCCAGACATTCTCAGAATCTGCTCAACTAGGCTTGGGGTCTCTAGGGTGTCCTTAAGGAGTCTTCTCCATTTGCGCAGCCAAGCAGAAGTGGTTCGGGCTACCGCTGCAAGCTCTGGCAGTTGAAGAGACAAGGAAGGTGTCAGTACTGCGGGAGCTGCCTCTAGCCTGATGCCATGAAGTTGCAGGCAGGTGCAAGTACAGTACCCAACCACGAGCAAAACGAAACAAGCTCAGAATACTTGACCCAAACCTCCTGCAGCCATCCCCCAGGGAGGCCCTGCCTCCGGTGGCCACAGGGTGCGCTCCAATGTGAGCCAGGTGATATGCCGAACCGCCTCACTTTGTACAAGGGCTGGCCTTTCACTAAGGAGCGAACAAGCCAGGACATGATAGGGCAACTGCTTGAGGGTCCCGACTGCACTCGACTGGCTCAGTAGCCGGATGAAGGCTTTGCAAACCAAACAGGGCTTGTAGGGTTGGGCTCAGAAAGCCTCATTCTCGAGGCGTGCTGGAGCTTGAGAAGTTGAATGTTTGTTTTGGGGGCTCGTTTTGCTTCGCCTTAAAGTCTGAAATTACATTCTGTCCTACAACTAAACCAACGACTGCAAATCAAAAGGATGCTCAAGCGCGGCCTAAGCGTTTCCAAAGCAAGTTGGACAACTTGAGCGACAAGAAGATGTACCCGTCACACGTAGCTGGATGCAGCATCGACATCATGCCCCTCTGTGAATAAACATAGCGCATCAGCCCTGGTGCTAGACAAGTGCTTGGGAGCGAAAGCCCTCACAAACTCCCTAAATCCACACCTTGCAGGGTTTAGGGGTTTCGGGGTTTCGGAGTAGGGGTCTAAGGCCACAGTCCTCCTCCGTGGCTCAGGGCTTCAAGCCTACCGCAGCCCGGCCCGTCGCACCTCTGAGATTTGCGGGCTCAGGCCGGCTGCGTCGCGGACACCGGCTGGGAGGTATCCCGAGATGGAGGACACGAGAGAGGCCACGCTCATTGGCTTTAAAGCGCCTCTTACGACGGGCTTCAGGGTTTAGGTTTCACATGGCTTCACAGTCGAGGGCTTGTATGTATCAAATCTACTGACATGTACGAGGATACCAGCTGCGTGTGGAGGTCAGGGTTAGGAAGTTGGGCAGCTACGTGTCGCTGGGCATTGGGGGGTACATGTCGTGTTACCTCCATGGGAGAGGAGGGGGGTTTGCAAGAGTGACTCACCTGCAGATCCGCAAGAATCAGGAAAGGCGTCGAGAACACCGGCGAACATGAAACTTAGAGTTACAGAGACCTCTGGCACCATCAGGCTCGAAACTAGCATCCCCCTCCCACCCCCAAGGCCAACAGCAGCATTCTCCGATTTCTTTGAGCAGACCGCCTCACCAGGAGTAATTACAGCTGTTCTTCAGCCGCCTTCAGCCTCCAGAGGTGAGATTTGAGGCCGCATAAGTCTTGAGAAGAGGGACAGAATGCTAGCTTTGCGAGATTGCGTCGCTCGGTGATGGCATGCCAATTATTGGCAACCGCCATACGAAGAATGTAGCCGGTCCTGCAATCGTCAGCATGGCTATGCCGGAGGGCCACTGGCTCTGAAAAAAACGATACGAGAGTTCAGCGAGTGACCTTTCCGCTGCAAAAAGGAGACTGAAGATCAGTGTTCCTGCAGCGATCAAACCGAAGGAAAGCAACAGCTGCCGATATAACCCGACAAAGAGCTTCCGCAGTCTGTAGGCCATGCGGAGCATGATCCACACAAGGCTTGGTGTCAGCATCAAGCAGTATGCGCCACCTTGTAGTCCGGTTTGCAGGAAGAGTCTGGCACGGTCACCGCTATCCTGTGAAGCCACCAAGTCTAGAAAAAGCCACCACATCGGGCAGGTCACCTGCACGATGCGCCCATATGAAAAGACGTTGCGTGTAAGCTGACGCAGCAAGGTTGACAAGACCCTTGTCCGCACCACAAGCTCGAACTGCTCGCGCGATCCAAACCAACAGTCAATGCAAGAATATACGACACGGCGGTCGCAAATCGCCATCTCTGTACCGTCGGCTTCGACGTGACCGCGGGAGCAGCAATAGCACTTTGAGTCCTCAATCCTGAAATTGCGCACTTGATTTTGCACCTCCTCGATGCTGTGGCAATGCGCGAGAACCACAAATGCCAGCAGCGTCAAGCATGGAAAAGCGAGAGCACTTATGAAGAAAGCAGCCCAAGGTATGATTGGCACCTGAGAGCATACAAAAGCAACCAGCAGTAGGCTCAGGCCCAGATGGCCCGTCACCAGCGCAGGGCCCACGAACACCGGGCAGACCACCAAGCAATTCAAGCAATCGTCTGCCTGAAGGTCCTTTCCATGCAAGAAGGCCCCAAGCTCGAACATACACCACAATCTCGAAACGTACCTTCGAGGTTGTCTTTGTTAGAAGAGAAACGACAGACACACTGCGCCTACGCTAGCGCTGGCGATGCAATTAGCATGTTCATGGCCACGTCTTCACAATGACAATGATGGTCATGACGGTGATGATGATGATGATGATGATGATGATGATTAGGATGATGATGAGAATGACGGTCATGACAGTGATCATGATGAAGGATGACGTTGGGGGGGGGGGGGGTGAGGATGATGATTTACACGCTGGCCAGTAACCCTCCCCCAGTTCCCATGTCGTGGACCCTAAGCTACGTGTGAATATCAACAAGCGAGTCCAGGGCACGTTGCGTCCCACAGAACCAAGAGAGACTTCGAGCACTTCAACACGGCACCCATGCTGATCAAGCCATCGAGCTTTCGAGCCTCGTCCACTTGATTTATGCAGGCCATGTCAAAGAAAGAGAGCTTCTTGCACCGCCAGAGAAGCAGGGTCAGGTAGTAGCCCACGACTCCGGCCGGGGTGCACCAAATATATGTCCGCTGCTCGACCGAGGACAACGGAGGAACCACACGGGCCGCACACAGCAAGAAGGTTGTTAAGGCACAAAGCGTGCCTACTACAACTGCTGGGAAGCTGTTGTTCAGGAACAGGATGTTCAGGTACTTCACCCAAAGCCTCGTGCGCCAACTGTGGGACCAGAACTCGTCCAGCTTTGTGGTCTCCCTGCTTAAACGATGGAGTCCCAGCAGATCTCTCCGTCGCACCATGCAGGGTGCCAGTTGCAGGGCTCGATGGACTGGCAGCCCACGCACGTTCTCAGGTCTTGTGGGCCTCATCTCGGCTAGAATCTGAATGAAAGCTTTCAGGGTGTCCTCCATGAAGGATGCCGTGTCCGTAGTTTTCTCGGACGAAGTCGCTTGGACGCTGGGAAACTCTGAGGGTATGCTGAGGTCGGCCTCGAGGCTGTCTGTTGACATCATGGCAAGGAGAGCTCTTTCTTCGAATGAAGCGGGCCACGTTGTTTACAAAGGCACCCGTGTAGCTTTTTTTTACCTATTGCTGTGCACTGCGCTGTTGTTGGGTACACTCAGTAAGTATCACTATGACTACCTCTTCGGCCGAGGCTTTCGCGTAGCAAGCCGAAAGGAGCTTTCAGTGAGCTCAGCAAGGGCTTCGAAAGTGGAAGCCTCGGAATAGACAAACCACAAAGAGCGCCCCGGGTCTCCCAGTGCTTCCTGGCTATCCTGACTCCACTTTACAAAACGTGTTGCTTCCGCCCGTTTAGCTGCACCAACAGCAGTCTGCACCCAGACAAAAAGAAGACGCAAAGCATGTCTGCTGTTTCACGGCTCTCGGCTAAAGCGTACATAAGTCTATCTACAGAAAAGAGTGAGTTGGCTGGCCTCAGAGTGAGGCCCCATTCGCCGCGACTGCTGCAGCAAAGCAAGTGCGGACAGCCTAGCTTGGAGGGTCCGCGAAAGTCTTGAAAAGTTTAACTTCTCGGCACGCTCGCAGCTTACTGCGGAGCGTGGTAACTGTAGAGCATGGGCATGGCAATCTCTCTTGAAGTGGGAGAGGGTTTAACACACATCAGGTGGAAACACGCACCACCTAGCTCATGTAGAGCTTGCATCAGGAGAGAGAATACACTGCCGCACACTCACAGGTGCAGAACTGAATGCAGCACTCCATGCGCTTGAGGAAAACATTGCACATGCCCCATCGTACGGCCACAACTCCCACAAGGCAAACAAGCATAGTCCCGAAGCTATCACGCTGGTACTCCTGGTGGTATAGATGTCCCTTTTTCTTCCCAGTTGAGGCTAGCCAGAGGCTAGAAGTGCAGTCCTTCAAAAAGTACGAACAGACCGAAGCATGCATTCAAAAACTCAAAGCGCTTCGCGAAAAGGAGGCAAGTGGCAACTATTAAGTTGTGGTGACACATGCTAGTCTCGTCCTTGTGCGGCAGATGACGACCTGTCCATTTCACTCAGTGACTGGGCAATCGAGTGGCGAGTGCCGAGTGATGTCGGTGCAATGCATGCCATCGGGGCTCTGGGGGCTGGCATGAGAGTGAAGCTGGAGCATCGCCAAGAAACTGACACCAACACCAAAGACAGCAGGAAAAACGCAATGGAGCCCACCAGCGGCTCGAAGGAACTCACGCACAAGCTTTGCCTGGCAGGTCGCTGGATGGGGCCGTGACTCTGAGATCTACTGTACGTACTCCCCTCAACCTCTATCACGACGTCATGATCCTAAATCCTTCGATTCCACATGAGCAATTGTTTTTCATTGTGTGGGCTCTTCTCATGGTATTGACATCCTACGCGGCCCTACGCGTGAACTCATGTTTAGTAGCCGCGCGGCCTACGCGCGGAGTGTGTTGTTGACGCGTGCCTACGCGGACCTACGCGGCAGGCAAAGCGCAAACGTATTGTTTGACTTGCTATATTGTGGCCACTGGCACATTCGGATTATTCAACCAAACTTTCTGCCCAACCCTGCCTGATCTTCTGCCCCACCATGCTCACTTTTTTGCCCAACCCAACCCTGCCCGAATTGTGTGATGTTGACGGATGGGCTACGACGTTGAAAACGACACCTACGACTACGCGTGGGCTACGCGGAGCCTACGCCGCGCCTACGCGAAACTCCTACTTATATATGCAGTAATACGTATATGTATATTTCTGTATATTATATATATATATATATATATATAACAATTGAGTCAACAACCTACGCGGACCTACGCGGACCTAGTATACGTAGACTTGCCTACGCGGACCCTACGCAGACCTACGCCGTGCAGACAAAATGCTACGCGGCCGACTTTCAATGTTCGCGTCTCTATGTGGCCTTGCTTGTAGAAAAAAAACGCTGCTCACACAGGACCCTGGTTACAGGCGAGCGAACCAAAGCAACAAATTGCGTTTGCGTAGCGCTATGAATCTTGAAGCAGCCGGGAAACAAGATGATGAACACAATGGCTACAGGAGCAACCGCAACGAGCACGGCGAGGTTGATCAACTCATCGGCGAGGCAGCTGACACGAGGCCGGCGTGCGTAGTATGCAATGGCAAATAAGAAGTGATAGATGAGCCTAAGCAGGGGCCGGGGCATGCTGTTGCCTCGTTGGACTCAAGGCAAATAACGATGACAAGACATGAAACAAACAATCCAGACTCCAGCCAGATCACGGAAATATCAGTAACGAGTAGGTGGTGTTGATGACAGCTACGACAGCGCCTGCATACAACTCGCCCGCACGGAGACGTGCTGCTACCTGATCCACTTTCGCCCAGTGGGACGGGGACATGACGAGCACCACCCACAAGTACGAAAACGATGAGCTTCCCAATTGATCGGCCAAGGCTTTGGATGTTTCCGATCGTACACACTCTTCGAAAGTCTTCACCGACCCAAACCACTTGCGAATACAGATGGTCGTCCTGAGTCAACTTGGCAAACTCCACTTTAAAGCATGTCAAGCTGCAGAGCTTTTAACCTCAAAGGTGCCTTCTATTGTTCGCAGCCGCAACCCTAAACCCTAAACCCTAAACCCTAAAACCCCCTAAACCCTAAAACCCCCTAAACCCTAAACCGTAAACCCTAAACCCTAAACCCTAACCCTAAACCCTAAACCCTAAACCCTAAGACCCCCCAAACCCTAAACCCTAAACCCTAAACCCTAAACCCTAACACCCCCTAAACCCTAAACCCTAAACCCCAAAACGCCCTAAACCCTAAACCCTAAAACCCCCTAAACCCCTAAACCCGAAACCCTAAACCCTAGGGCCTACCAGGGTTGACGGTTGGAAGGGCTTGGGTTGACTAGTTGAGTCGTTTTACTTCTAAGATCAGTCAGGGATCACCTCCCGGTCGCAAATGATTGGCTGCGAGCTGTTGCTGCGGTGATTCACCGAACAGCAGTGCGACCTGGCAGATTGGATGAGCCGCTTGATTCGACCCAGAACCCCCTACATCGGATAGCCCTGGGTCTGGAAAGCCCAGCACTAGCCAAAACAAGAAAACGAGAGGGAGAGAGGGAGGGAGAAAGAGAGAGAGCGAGAGAGAGACAGAGAGCATGCTTATGCAGAACTGCGGGACTTCGCTTGCGACAGCTCGAAGGTTGACAGCTGAGTCAGCATCGTCTCAACTGAGTTGAAGTAGCCGCGCACGGAATGGATTGCCAGGCGGCACCCCACACAGTAGGGCACCCCGACGATGGCGACGGCTATCCAAGCGTCATGGTACGAACAGACCATTCCAGCCAGCTCCGCCGCAAAGGTGCCAGCAAATACGCAAGCTGAGCAAACTGCAAAGTACGTCGGTCGGATGCTCAGGTTGCCATGGCTGCCCGTCATGGCCTGGCACTTGAGGAACGCTGCGGCTTCGAACACGCACCAGAGTCTTTCTGCCCAAGTTTCCTGAACTGCTCTTGATGCTCTTGGACACCCTCCCCGTATCAATTAGGATGTCAGGTTCTTTCAGAAATCGATGCAACAAAACCAAGAAATGTATTCAAGGCCAGCTTAGCTTCGTCCCAGAACACATGGAGCGCAGCAGAATGCTTGAGGAAAGCGCCTATGCTGGCAAGTGCCGCGGTCTTCCTCCGCGGATCATCTTGATGGATGCAGATCACGTCCAAAAACACTCTGGTACGGCAACGCCAGGTGATGCAGGTCACGACAGCGATGAATGTTCCACCAAGCAGTGCCCATGGACCAGTTGCATAGGATTCACGACCAACTTGAAGGTATGGCACACGCTCGAAGCCAGGGAGCACTCCCGTGATGAACAAAATGGTCATGCAGAGTGCTGCCAGGTTCCCAAAACAAATTGCCCACAGACCATTACTCAGCATAAGCATGGTTGCTATCTTGCGCCATGCGCTGCCATGCCAGGAGTGGGACCAGAACTGGTCGATCCTGGTCGTTTCGAAACTTCGGTCGTAGTTCCCTGAGCGGCGACCTCGCAAGGCTCTGCCCAAGCCACGCAAGGCCTTATGGCAATGTGTGGCTCGGATGATGTCAGGAGAAACCGCTTGTAAGCCAGCAACATACCGTGCCACCACATGCACCATGCCAGGCGTGTCATCGTCACTACTAGACTCTTCTGGAGTCTCCGCGTGCTCCTGCTGAATCGAGAGGTTGATGTCCATTTCTTCTTCTGTGAACATGTGTCCCTGCTTGTTCTCGGGCTGGCTGGGCTCTTTGCCATCTTCATCTAGGCCGGAGGTGTCCATGCTCGATGCAGTGGATGAACCCTCGCGTTAAACAACAACCTGCTATGCTCCATACAGCTTGAACAGTGCGACAGTGACTGTACAATACCGTACAGTAGCTCAGTAGCTGGTTTATGACGCTTGTGGCCAGATGTCTGCGTCTTGCTCTGATTCGCCTGTTGGGCTTCTGAACCGGAGCGGCCTCAGGCATCAGAGGCGGCGGGTTGCCGGGGGGGGCAGGCACCTGCAACTCCGCAACCCCGCACACTCAAGCCCCCTACGTGACAGCACCGGCTCCCTTTTTACCAGAGAAATGCGTTTTTCACCTCCTCTGCCAGGTGCAACTGTGCCTGGGCGAAGCCTGGCGGAGCTGCTGCTCTGAAAACCCTGCGCTCCGCAACTGCTGGGCTCTGAGCTCCGCTAAGCCGGCTCTTCGGAGTAAGGCAGCAGAAGGGCCTTTTGAAGTTCAGGCTGAAGCCTGCTTCGTGCAGCTGCTTCGTTGTGAAGCCTGCTGTCACTAAGTCCGTGATCTCGAAGCCCGCTTGCCGCAGCTGTGCGGCACTGAAGGCTGTCTGTCGGAGGTGCTTCGCCGTGAAGCCTGCTCGCCACAGCTGCCTGGCAGCCAGGATAGCCGTTTCTTCCTCGGTTAGGTCAAGACTCGCTCGAAGAGCTGCAGCGGGGAAGCTCTGCTCTAGTTGCATCAGGCTGGCTCCGGCCTCATGAAGCTGGCTGATGGTGAAACCTGCTTGCACCAGGTCGTCCAGACTGATCCCAGGATAGTAGCGGAGATCAGGCAGGGTGAAGCCTGCTTGGTACAACTCTTCTGCGCCGTGTTCTGCTTTGAGCAGCTCACCCATACAGCCTGTGCCTTCAAGTTCCGCCATCTGAGCTGTAGTCGTGTCCTCCGTAAGCTGCACGGAAGAAGGCGGCGTCTCCTGAAGGACTCCCATGAAAGCCCCATCCTCCGACTGGTCCAGGTTTTGGTACCGAGACTGGCAGGCAGCTTCCTTAGTTGCTGCGAGTTCGCCACAAGAGAAATCATAGCCAAGATCAGTGAGCTCGAGGCTGAAGTCTGCTTCTGGAAGCTCCTCGGCACTTCGGCATCTTTGTCGGCGATGATCTGCAGTGAAACCTGCGGAGCTGGAGCTCCTCCAGCTCCAGTCGCTCCTGAGTTGTAAGAGGGAGCCCTGCTCGCCGGAGGTGCGCTGCAGCGAAGCCCGCCTGCAGAAGCTCCGATATACAGAAGCCGGCTCGGTGTAGCTGCACAGCCGTATATCCTGCTTCTGAAAAATCTGCAAGGGTGAATCCGGCCTCTAAGAGATCCGTCATCTCAAGCCCAATGTCACGCAAGTCAACTAAGGAAAAGCCTGCCTCCCGGAACTGCACAGCCGCGAAGCCTACTTCCCTCAGGTGCACGAGGGCCTCAGTGAAGCTCTGTCTCGCCACTTGGAGGCGTTTTGCAAGGACCCACAAGGGCTGCCCCAACTCATCATCTCTGTCCATGACTATCAGTGGCTAAGGGCAGTTCCCACTAGCTTTGTAGCAGGCAAGAAAAGCTGGGGTAGCTGTCCGGCACAGTCTGCCACCTTTACAAGGTGGCAGGCTGTTCCGGACAGCTACTTGAGCCGGCGAAAGGAATGCTGCGCAAAGTCTGGAAAACGCCGACAACTCAAGTGCAAGGTATTGCTACAGTAATTATATTACTACAGTATTGCTAGAGTAGTACTCTAGTATTAGTCTATTTTCTGTTTACACTATTGCTATAGTACTACTATAGTACCAGTATAGATTCGAAGTCATCTGCGTCGGCTTCGAGTCGACAGTTGCATTTCGAGTTGGGGGGGGTTCGGGTTTAAGGCTGTAGGCTTGCGATTCCGGCTGGATTAGCGCTTCAACAAAACTATTTCAGCATACTTACATTGCGTTCCTGGGCCCTAAGGCAAACCTGAAAAACGTAGTCGTCGTCGTAGTAGTGGTGGTGGCGGTGGTAGTAGTAGGAGTAGAAGTAGGATTGGAAGTAGAAGTAGAAGTAGAAGTGGAGGTAGAAGACGTCGAAGAAGTAGTAGAAGTAGTAGAAGTAGTAGAAGAAGTAGTAGTAGTAGCAGCAGTAGCAGTACAGACACCGAAGGCGACCGCCTCCCCCCTCCGCCACATATTTATACACACTCACTCTCCCGTATGGAGCCGCAAAGCAAAAACCATTCGGAGTCCTGCATTTGGCCGTAGCAGCTGCAGATCTTCCGAGAAATCATGTGACCTACGCCTCGCAACTTCCAGGGAAGTTGGGTTCCGAGTGGAAGCGCGCCAGATCACACCAGCTAGACCCCAAACCCCGACCTCCAAACCGGCTGTTCGGAGTGGCAGAGGCGGTATCAGGGTGGCTGTCTCTTGCGCTGCAAGACCAGTGGCACTTGAGCTGGCGCAGAGAATTCGGATTAAGGGGTTTAGGGTTGGGGTTTATGGGGAGCCAACTTGCTTTAAAAGTGCCGTTGGTTGAGTTGAAAACAACGCCTCAGCAGCACGGCAGACACCATCGGAGCCAACTTGAACGACGCGTGCGCAAGTCCTCTTGGATCTTCAGGTGCCGCCCGTTCTCAACAAAGTCCTTCATGTAGGCCTTCACGAAATCCACGAGCTCAGCAGGTCCATCCTCCTTCTCCATGGCAAGGCCCACCTCCCGAGCCTTCTCGCGGATGCCCGGCGTCTGCCGGCACTTCTGGATGGCCTCGGCAATTTCCTCAGGAGCCAGGCTGTGCATGACCTTCATCCCCACACCGATGCCACTCTGATTCACCATGTCTGCCTGCTCGAACTGGTCAAAGGACAATGGCAAGACGATGGTAGGCACGCCTGACCTCGCAGAGGCGTTCGTTGTGCCGGCGCCTCCATGGTGTACGATGGCGCAGCACCGTGGGAACAGCAAACCGTGGGGTGCAAACTTCATGAAGAGGATGTTGTCTTTGCAGAAGCTGCGGAGTTCCTCGGCATCCGGCTCGCCATCCACGAGGTCCAAGGACATCTCAGACCAAGCTGCGCAGAGGATACCGCGAAGCCCCGCCACCTTGAGAGCACGGAGGCTCAGCAGGGTCATGAATTTCGAGTTCTTGCAGATCATCGAGCCGTAGCCGAAGAACACCGGCGCATCACCTTGGGCAAGGAAAGCCTCCATGCCAGCAACTTGCTCCGAGCCGAACTCCGGACCCACTTGCAGGGAGGCCGGGGGCATCATCGGTCCTACCCGAATGTTGTTGTCGTTGAAGTCCGGGGGAAAATCACCGTGGAGAGAGCGACTCTCGGCAATGAGGCTGCGGTACGCGGCCCTGTAGCTCAAGAGATCAAACAACTCGTCCAGGGACATTAAGACCTCTCCGGCGGGCCTCTTGAAGTGCTCCTCATAGAATGGACCGTCTTTCTTCCTGGCCGCCCGCAAAAGCAAGCCGTGCAACACCTTCCACGCCAGGAGGTTCAGAAAGTTGCTCTTCATCTTCGGGAACCCGAAGGGTGTGGCGTAGCGGCTTGGCCGCCAGCGCTGGACCTGGAAAGACAGGATGGGGATCTGCATCTGGCGCGCCATGGGCGGCAGGCTCATGAGCGTCAGCCCTGCTGACAGTATCAGGTGAGGCTGGTAGTCCTTCAGCAATTGGTACCACTTCTCCAGCTCTTCCCGACGTCGACCCTTGGAGAAGATTTCCTCCTGCACTTTCAGGATCTTCGGAATGCTCTGCTCGGTCATGGCCTCGATGAACGCGTCGCTCGTGACCATCTCCCGGCCGCTCATGCGGGTGGCGCAGAAGGGCACGCTGAAGGCCTCCGCCAGGCTGGCCGTGTCCACGTTGCCGGCGGTCATGACCTCAAAGCCTGCCTCCTGGAGCGCGTGGGCAGCCACCATGTAGGGCTGGGCGTCCCCGCGCGTGCCAGCGAAGGTGATGAGGATTCGCTGGGCCATGGCTTCCGTGGGTTGATTGGAGGTGGAGCTCTTGGAATTTAAAAACCTGCCGTTTTAGGACCCTGGCGTTTCTGGGTTTAGGTTCAGAGCTGCTATGCAGGTCCAAGGGCTGACTCCTACAACTCGAAGACGCTTTTGGCTTGAAATATGGAGTGCGTCCCATCTGCAACAAATAGTGTTCGGTTGTCATCCATATCCTCGATAAACCTCAGACACATCTTCCTTTTTCCCGGGAAGCCCTAAACTTCTTCGCCAGCCAGATTCGCTGTAAACCGGCATGCAAGTGGCAGTAGACAGAAGCTTGTCTACTTAAGTAGATTTAGCAGCGGGGATTCATGGCTGCAAAGCTGGCAAATAAGCTGCAATGATGGAAGTCTGAAGCGAGGCATCGAGCTTGGAGCGCCCCCGATGACTATTGCAACTTTAACTGCACGAGCACGCCAGTGTACGCTGCCACATGTTCCTGAACTCAGCCGATCTTACAGGAACTTAAGCTCCCTGCTCCCTTGCTGAACCGGTCAAAACAGTCGAACGCTGGAACGATGTGGGCAGAGCCGGGTCCGTATGTACAGGTGCATTTACACCGGCAAGGTGAATGGACATGGTGGTTGAGGCTGCAAAACATCTATTCAAGCCAATGATGGAATGAACCCGAACTCTTACCACACAAATCCACTTATTCTTCGAGGCCACTTTGTCACCCTCGCTGCATTCAGCAAGGGAAGTAGATCATGTCGGTGGAAGCTTCGTCCTGCTCTAATTTGTGGGTTCGGGGTTTTGCCACCTGCCTAGCAGCCTCGCACAACAACACAGAGTTGCAAAACTGAGTCAGCCTGGAGACCCTCCGGACAGTGTCACGTTGACTTTCGTGCCTCTTGAAAGTACCCGTCAGATCACCGGAGTGTTCAGCACTACCGCAAGAAATATGTAGCCCCCGACTACCAGAGTGCCCGAGTGCAACTGACCTCGAGATCGGCCGCCGGAAGTTTTCGGGCCCTTGAACTACGGGGCATCTCGACGCTAGAAGCTGGGGATATGTTTGGAAAGGGCAGCGAGTCCAGCGAGACCTGGTCACCATCAAATTAAACCCCCGACCTCCTCGCTATGTAATTGGCTCCTCTAGCCGAACTCAATGTGAGAAGAGAGAAGAGCGTGGTTGGGACATTGCGAACTGCTTCAAATTCGACCGGGTCGATCCAGTACAGACCTTCCTCCCGCAGCCTTCAACACACTTCGCCTTCACATATCCGGAATCGATGGGATCAGGACTTGTTAGGTGCTACTGGCTGTATTTTCAAACCTAAAACCAAACCCCGACCACGTCTACCTTTGTTTGTCACGTTTTTGAGGTCTGCACATTCCGGGAGGGGGGCAGGGGGGGGGGGGCAGGAAAAAACCGGAAGGGCATGCGCACAGCACCGTAGTTTCTGGCGAGGTTTTCTGGATCGGCGGTACCTCCTTGATCCACGCTTGAGAGCTTTGTGGGGGCTTCCGAAATTACGTAGGAGGTACCTTATTGGGGTCCTGATTCTAAGTGGATCCTACATTTGGGATCCATCTTGGGGGTCCCCCATCTTCGTAAACCCGCATATCCTTGTTCATTCGAGACTCCAACAGCACTTCAGTCCTCGAGCCGAAATCGCACGGACTGCGAACCCACGAGCTGCTCTCCATCATGATCCAACGACGCCTGCATGGAAGCATCATCTTTTGTATTTGGGGGGGGGGGGGTTTCCGAAGATGGTAGGTGGGTTACCACCCCTTTTTGGGAGGATTTGGGGTCTTGTGTGGCCTTATGTACTACGCAAGTAGCATCTTTGGATATGATGGGGAGACCCCAGTCTGGATGTAAACACGAAGCTTCCAGGCCCGAAAGCCCGGAGCTGAAGACCAGGAATGTTCATGGTTCCGGCTTGAAGCAGCAATTAGTCAAGGTTCTTAAGGCATTGAGTCGAAAGCTAAGAAAGAGCACTGCGCTTGCACCATGGCACCAGGAGAAGCTCGCCGTACGCGATCAAGGTACATCTTCCCGTGCTTCTTCACCTTGTCTATAGCTTGCTTTTTGCATCCAGGTCTGACGCCGGGCATCACCAAATTTACTGAAGAGGCGAAACTCGTGTTCACCCCTCAAAGAATAGTCCGAATACTCTCAACTTGATTGTCAGGTAAAATGTCAAAGAGAACCACACATTGAGTTGCAACGCTGAATTCCGCAGACATGGCGTGAAGTTCACTGCAGATGGCATCCCAAACCCCATGAGGAATATTGAGCAGGAAGACCCAGTTCTCGTACAACATCCTGACATGGAGGAGGAAGGACCTCAACGCTACGGAGATCCATATAGCTTGCTGAAACCCTAAACCCTAAACCCTAACCCTTAGCCGCCTTAGCCCCTTAGCCTAAACCCTAAACCCTAAACCTCACACATGCTGAAAGGGAACCTTCCGTTCGAGCCAGGGCTCTGGCGCACTTGAGAAGAGTTGGAATCGTTCCTCCTCTGGGTCCGTCACAGGCGATTGGGTTTCGAGGTTCGTTCAGGGCTTTTGGTTTAGGGCCCAAAACCCACAAGTCCATCTGGGATCAAGTGGGGTTGGGGATAATGGAAGGCAAAGATTAACCTTGCTGTTGGACCGTGTTGCTAGGAATCACTATCACATCAGCTACAGCACAGTGCAGTCTCTCTCAACAAGTTCTGAATTGATATAAATATCGGAATCTGTCACATCAAGCCCTACCCATGCGCAAAAACGCGGTGGGTGTATGCCCGTCTAGTGTCCACTTGTAGAAGGGCCGCCCAATTTGCTCACCAAACCCATAGCCAGCCGTTCCATGTCCGCGTCCGTGACCTGGCCCCTGGGCGACGAACGTGCATGCCGTGGTCGACGTGGTCATCATGGTCGTCGTGACGTGGCTGCATACGGGAGGCTCTTGCTAGGTCGATTTCGGAAAGTCGCTGCTGGCTTGTCTGAATGGCACGCTCAGTCTTGGAAATAGTCTTGGTGCGATGGATATCTTTTTCTTGTCGTTCTCTCCTGTGGGTTTCCGCATCCTATAGCTTAATTCGGGGGGGTGGCGGTTGTTTGTCTTGTTGGGGTACGGGGACCCTCCTCCTTTGTGTTTTGTTGTCTGATTGGATACCCAGCCACTCTTGGAATTCACCTCGGAAGGATGCTCTTTATGAGTCTTCCTGGTTCTCACTTGGGACGCTCCCGAGCAGAAGATTCTTGAGATTCCCAATGTCATGCATTTTGATTCGTTATGAGAAGGTTCTTATCTTGTTGCGGGATCTGCAGGGCCTGCCGCCGGGCTTCCCCGACGGTGCCTTCCACTGTAGGAATTATCTGAACACGCTCGTAATTTGGGTCCTCCGCGATCTTCACCGAAATTCTGCCGACAGAAGGCCGATGAGCACCGCTGAGACGATGAACCTTCCTAGGTTCAGGGTTTTGTGGGAACGTCGGGGTTTGTTGTGGGATTGGAAGGCCGCGCGATTACGTTTTGCAAATGCTTGCAGAAGCTTTGGGGTAGACAGGCCGGCGTTGGTTGAGGCTTGGAGTTCCGCCCATCGGGATCGGGGCAAAGATGTGTTGAGAAACCTTGTGTTAAGAAACCTGCTTTTACTAGCCGGACGTCGTTTAGATCTGCGTCCGGCCATGACATTTGCAGCTTTTCTTGCTCCTGGAGAGGGATCTGCCGCCTGTGTTGTATATATAACTTCCTAACGTAGCGAAAAGGTGCTCAGCAACTTTACTTGGATCACAGTGGAGGTCTCTCGGCTTTGCGCACATTGACATGCAAACACACCAGTTGAATGCCAAAAAGGCAATACTTCTTTGCCAGTGCCCTTAAGCCTCTGAAACCTTGTGTTGAGGAGCCTGCTGCAAGGGAATGCTTTGACATTGGCAGGTGGCAGGTGGCCCATGGATGCGCAGCACCTCGCCACAGCTTGGGCGGCAAGCTTCATATCGTCCGCCTGACACGAGCTTGTTGGAGCGATATGTGTATACGTGCAGATGTACAAGATAACGGAGAAGCAAAAATGTCGCGAGAGGCATCAAAGGGTGCCTTCTTGTCTGTCATGTAGGTCCAAGCTTGGCAGCTTCCAAAACTGCCTTCGCTGACTGCACGGCCTCCTTTGAGCGCCAAACTTCCCGGCTTCAAATATTACAAAATCTTGTCATATGGAAAGAGAGAGAGAGAGAGAGAGAGAGAGAGAGAGAGAGAGAGAGAGAGGGAGGGAGGGGGAGGGATGAGGGAGGGGAGGGGAGAGGAGAGGGAGAGGGAGAGGGAGAGGGAGAGGGAGAGAGGGAGAGGGAGAGGGAGAGGGAGAGGGAGAGGGAGGAGGGGAGGAGAGGAGAGGGAGAGGGAGAGGGAGGGAGAGGGAGAGGGGATGAGAGGGAGAGGGAGAGGGAAGGGAGAGAGGGAGAGGGAGAGGGAGAGGGAGAGGGAGAGGGAGAGGGAGAGGGAGAGGGAGAGGGAGCGTACAATTACGCCATGCTATTTCGTATTAGAAAATGTGACATATAGGTAATAGAATGTTTCATGACGTTCGTCATGGTGTTAGCGCGCGTGTCTCCAATGTTTTTCGTTTATGTGCTATTACAGGTTGGGACCCGTTTTGCCACTGGGTTCCCCTGAAGCTCCCTCTAGGTCTTCCTAGGTGAGAGATATTAAACTAAACCCCCTCAAACTTTTTGCCACTAGACGCTATAAACCCTCAAGCAAACAAAGGAAAACGCCAGAACATGTCTTCAGAGTCCTGGATCTCTCGTGCAGCAACGTAGTTGCCCGCCTCGACGAAGTGTGAACTTGTAAGTGACTGCAAGTGTTTTATGCAATTATGGGACAACCTTTAGTTTAGGGTATATACAGGTGAGTTAGCATGGGAGTCTCCGGAGCTACTTCGTTAAGGTTAAGACATGTCTGCCTCAGGAGGGAAGTACCTGCGTTTATTCCGAACTCGAGGGTTGGGTTTCTATCTCTAGAGGTGGGAGGCTAGATGAAACGCCGGAGCCCAAACCGGAACGGAACGGGTAAGAGGAGCCAGAGGGGAGAGGCACCGGAAGCTGGTCAACTCAGGGAGCGAGAGTTCTGGCTGGCTGTTGGGTTCTACAGCTGGGATAATATGACGTCTTCTTGTAATGAGGCCCTGATGAGGCTTGCTAAGGGGTTGTACTAAGGGTGATTGATATTGGGTACCCATTATAAGGCGGCACCCTGTTAAAAGGGATCCCAAAAATGGACCCTATAATTTGGAGAACTACCCATCTGAGGGGTAATGATACCCCTCGAACGTTTCGCTGGGCCTTGGTTGTGCGTATGCGCATGAGCTCGGACACCCGCTGCAGCTCCTGGTAAGACAAGGGATACATAAGCGGTAGATAAATTCGTGTAGTGTTTAATATAAAAGTAAGTACTTCAGGGTTTGGAGAGGAGATTTGGGGTAATTACCTTATAGTAGTGGTGTTTATGTCTATCGTGTTGCAGGCCATAAAAACATCGCAGGTTCGCGAACACAACTATGGAGATCCGCAGGGCCAAGATTTGAAGTGAGGTTCAAAATTTTTTTCGCCCGCGTTACGACCGCCTCCGCGGACTGCTGAGGCTTTAGGGGTTTTAGGACCATTGTAGGGCTTTTGTTAAGAGTTTAAGAGTTTCGGGGACTCAACCCTGGCATGGCATCTCCTCCAACTCAGCTGGCACAGGGTCTCTTTGCATCACCTGTGCGGAGGATGATGTTCGAGGGGCCCTTGGACCAACACACCGCTAGCGCTTCTGGACCTCTGGGACCACCACTGCTTCTGAGGGCGGTGTAATGCAAGAGCCAACCGCCACGTGTTACGGCGCGGCAAAGCCCTAATTCTACCCAGAACTAACAAATCCGAAGCCTTACCTGGCGTTCGAGGTCCTCGTTGTATGTCTCCGTTTAAAGTGCGTCGAGCCTTTAACTCCGAGAACGATTCTTAGGGGACTGAGCGAAAAGAATACGCAAATTGCTGCGTACCACCAACACTACGACAACACTACGACAACACGCCGCCTGTGGAGCAGAGATGTCCTGCAAGGTCACGCTGACCTTCACTGCTGGCCCGACTCCCACCCTTTTCTTTGGGGTTGGACAGCCCCAACCCCACTGATGTGAGCGGTGAAGACCTCACTCTGAAGTTGACGGAGACTTTGCAAACGGAACCAGGCTGATCATCTAGCAGTTGGCTGCAGGGAGCTGCTGTGGAGTTCAGGCTGAGAAAATGCTGCTAAGGCGATCCGGTTGATGTTCCTATGCTTGCTTGATGTTGTTTAATGATTCGAATGAAGTGGCAGCCCGTCAGGCTCAGAAAGGTCCGCGCTGATTTTGACAATTCTTTTACCCACCTAGCAGACAAACAAAACGACTTGGGTTTGTATCTTAATGGGGAGGCGCGCGACACGTGTTGGGGTCGGGGAATGTTTGGCGGGTATGTTTCGGGGTATGTTTCGGGGGTATGTTTCGGGTATGTTTCGCGGCATCATAAGGTACTTTACCTGCAAGTTCGGGGGTATGTTACGGGTATGTTTCGGGGGTATGTTTCGGGGTATGTTTCGGGGTATGTTTCGCGGGTGTGCAACCCGTATGCCTTTCTTAAGCCTGAGCCCCCCCAAAAAACACAAACCCACTTGTCCTACTGCAGGCATCCATCACTCCGAAATTCGTACAGGACGCAAGCGAACACAACTTTCCGCGAATTGATGGGTTGCCAAAAGATCCAATTGTTACAGCTCCTCAGGATGTTAAGCTGGGAGCATTGAGTGCCTTCCAGTGCAATCAAGATACAGACATCCAATCCTCATCCGACGTGTCTCCAACTTCGCTAACTTCCACCGTGCGCGATGCGAAGATTCGATTGGATGTGCCAGAGGGATGGAGCACCTGTACACGTCAAGTGCGGCTCTCTTCATGTTTGCAAGTTACTTCGCAGACCTTTTCAGATCGAAAGCCTCTGCGGCTGTAGCTGCGACACGTACTCCAAGATTCAGGCCTGTAGCATGTTGACTATGGTAGTTCTCCTTTGACCGCAGCTCAATGCCTTCAGCTGCAGGTCAAGCCTGAGGATCCCGTTTGCTGCTGGGAGCTGCCAGAAAGCCCACCAAATCAGCCCTAGAGAACACTACACCTGCGGAAGCACCATCATCGCTGCCACGATGACATCATCAGATGCCCTACCGGGTCGTACCACCCATCCTGTGCAGGCTTCCCGGCGCCTTGTCCGTTGCGAGCCGCCAGAGGAAGTGAGAGGCTGCTGTGCGCAACACGTTGTCCGCTACAAGCAATGCGCCACAGGGCCTGCCACAGGGATACCGCAAACATCCCCTGCCCCTGCACATGCTCAATATACAGCCGAACCTGCGACTATCATTGTCTTCCGGAAATCGTCATGTCCCTCGTCGCCAGTATCAACAACATCTTCGAGCAATTGTTCTTCGGTTCCATCACGTTATACCCTTTTTGCAACTGGGCTTGAAACCCTAAAACCCGAAGTCCCGAACCTAAGCTAAGTCCTGAAACCCTTCCTCGCTGAAGCATAGCACCTCGTCCTTCGGCCAGTACGATGAAAGTCATCTTCGGGCCATTGAACCCCTCACAATTCATGTCTTGTCAACGTTATTGATGTCAGCCAAGCGTCATGCAGACTTTGTGCATTTCTGCATCTTGCAGTTGAAAACCGATGAGGAAGCGTGGGGAGTTCTTTGCGCTCTGCCATGTCCCGCTTCAACATTGTGCTGCAGGTTGGGACAGCAGAATCCAAAGGATAAGAGCTGCCCATAACCATGTCCTGGCTACGAGCAACTGTAGCTCCAGTGACCGTAAAGACTTACGTTCAAAAAACACCGACCACTTCGCGAGCTCGTCGTCGTACAGAGCATAGATGTTGTTGAACATCACGTCGTCCATGCTGTTCACGAAGGTCAGCGCAACACAGTTTAGGATGAGTTCAACGTCATCCTCAGCCATGAGAACGAACTTGGAACCAACGAACGTGAGCAAAACCACAACTGTCGCCTTCGGGAGCACGAAAAGGGCAGTCAACAAGACGCGAAAGTACCATCCGAGATTCTCGGTCGACATCCATATGCAATACAGCGTGTTTATTGCTTCCAGACCTTCGTTGAGCATCTCACCGACGAACACCGCAACGCCAATGACCTGCAGCAGCTCGTGAGCGCGCGGAGCGCAAGGATCCATACGATCCACGGCCCTCCACACGAAAACCACAATGGCTATCTGAGCAGCTGCAAGAGCTACGCAGGGTGCAAGTATTTGTGGTGCCCAGAACATGGCCTCCTTCATCTCCATTTTGTGAACTGCATCGACAAACCAGGACATGCTGGCCGCGTAGGCGTCCTCGGGTAGCTCAACAAGGAAGCCCCGGTGATCATCGTCAGCATCGCTCGACTCGCTCAGTTCGTAGGCCATCCGCACGGATCTATGGACAACCCTACAAACCCGAATGCAGCCCTAACATCCTGGGTTGAGCCATGCACCCTATACCCGACATGTGTGCTTGGACCTGAGGTTTGTCGAGACGTTCTTACTGCATCAGGATCGAACCGACCTTACCCTTAGGGCCGAAGAAAATTCGGGTTTAAATAGGGATTAGGGTGAAGTGATGTATCCGCGAACTAAATGCGTGGGCCACTTGAGTTAGCCTGTAGTGTTCAAGACTTCGACAGCGCACCCGCCGGTCTAGTTTTGAGCTTTCAAGCAGCATGGGTAGGAGCTGCGGACGGATATTCCTCAGGGGGGCCTCACCATTTGCTTTTCCAAGCCCAGCCAATCCCGGGTTTAGGTCAAGCTGTCGCCTAGGTGCAGAATTCCTTACCCGTCCCGCTTCTCGGGCCAAGGTCTTTCTCAGCGTGTCAAAATGACTTCATGTTGCCTGTGTAGTTCTTAATCACAATTACGTTTGGCAGGGCACCCGTACCAGACTAGTGTTAGGGCCTGAGGCAGAACCCTCCTTCGGACGGTGCCTTTCCGTGCCGTTGCGTGTATGGCTGCAAACACTCGTTAACAAGGTCAACCACACCTAAAGTCCTCCCTCTGCGGCACAAGACACACCTGAGTGAGAGACACAGAGAAATAGCGAGAGAGCAAACAAAAAACGAAGATCTGTGAGCCTGTTCTGACTTGACTTCGTGAACCCCGCCTTAGCAGCGCAAGCTTCTCCACAAAGTCCAGATCTTCCTGATGCGGAATCTGAGGGGCCTTGATGGGCTTGGGGTTCTGGGCTGATTATGCAGATCTGGCCTGCGAGACTGGGTCCTTGACGAGAGTGGCGGCTGTATGGTCGCAAAATGTCGTCAACACACCCCCGCCGAGTGAAGCCGAGCGACGCCCAAGCGATGCTGAGTGAAGACGACCGACGCCGAGTGAACACGGGCGATGTCGAGTGAACACGAGCGACGATGGGTGGCCCCAAGTGTCGGCAAGCGCATGTCTTCGCACATCTTCGCTCGTCATCATGTGTGTTCGCTCGTGTTCGTCTTCGTGTGCCGTCGCGTGTCTTTTCTCGTCTGCGCTCAGTTTCGCAGATTTCCGTACAACCACGCCACCGCCACGATCAAATTGAAACTACTTTATTACTTATTCTTTCCAGTACTATGCAGGTGGTCCTACAAGTGGCGATCCCCTTGGCCCTTGACACCAACTTCAGTTCTGCCACCAACACCTGCAGATGTAGAAAAGCCACCATGCTGCACAAACTACAGATGTCTGATGGACTCCAAAGAGGCACAAGCCCGACCGTATGGATCACTCTACACTCAACACACAGACCCGATGTCTTCGTCGTCGGGATCATCTGCTGTAGGGTCTGCGCACATGCTCTACGTCCCAAACTCCCACAAGCCCCGCCGTGCTGCCACGATGCTGCATATTGCGTGCCCCAGCGGTCCACGAACCTTGGCCGCGTCAGCTCACACTCCGATGCCATTTTTGCAACAACGAAAACATGCCTTAAAACCATGGGGCCTCGAACCAACGGTGGGGCCTCGTCACCAACCTCTGAAGGCCATTCAGCAACGAAGCATAACAGGAAGTCACAGCAAAAACGAACTGACGAACTCGGCCTGTTGTCTAGGATCTGTGTAATCGGAGGCCTCTGCACACATTGAGCTGTTTTGTGGCTCATGAGTTCAATTCGGGACATGTCGGTTGCTGCCTTCTTCTGGCACGAGACACCTCGTGCGTTCAACGCCCAGCCACCACCCTAAACCGAACACAAGCTACGTCAAGCTGCACCCTTTTTAGATCCTGGCCCACCCCCTACACCACACTACACCCGGAACCAAAAGCAACAACACCCCACATGGCTTGCTTCAAAGCACAAGGCGTCAAACCACGGCGTGTTGGGCCTCTCAAGAAGGCGACCTCCGAGTCGGTGACAGTGCAGGCCCTAAGCCCTGACTGATTCCCTTACGATTTGTAGGGCTTGGGCTTATAGGAACCCCAAAAGCTAGGGACTTGTGGAGGGAGGGCTTCAGGTCAAGGCTTCAGCACGTTCGGCTCTCCCACTCCCACATCAACTTTTCATTGTTCAGATAGCAGATGTTTGGAATCTCTAAGTCCGTATGCGTCCAAGCTTATATATAAATCTGAATGAAACAGTTGAGCGAATATATCGCATCAATCAGAATATCCAAATGTCAAAAAAGATGAATACCGCAAAAGCTCAATCCAGTACCCTTTCTTGTTTCTCGAAGAACTGGCGGATCATAAAACGCAAGACCACCCGAAAGAAACGATTGGCGATCATGCTCAAAACGTTCTGCACGAATCTCAATTCAACGTGGCACCTTACCAGATGCCAAGAATCGAAAAGCAGCGAAATGCTGAGCCTGCAAAACTGTGTTCCCAAAAAACGAAAACGGTTCAGCAAGGAAAACTCAGCAAAGTCAGTTCGCTAGAAACATTGAAGCCTGTCTTCCGGGCTACAGACCCCAAACAGCCGCGTTAGAAACACAAGCCATTTGGGCTGTGGGGTTTTCGCCTCCGAGTTGATCAAGGAAGGACCCCATGAGATGCAGGGGGTCAGCTCTGCAGGCCCTACATCGCTACAGTGCCGCAGGACTTGCCAAGCTGCAGCTTGAAAAAATGATCCTACGATGCCAGAGAAACATTCGTAGCTTGAGCCTAAACCCGAACTGAAACTGGCACACCCTGACAAGCTGTCAACCTAAATCCCATCACCCAATTTCGAACTGCAAGCTAGGCGTCGCTCTTTGAAGCGAGGCAGCAGGAGCCTTGGCTGTTGGAACTCTGCGCTGGTGATGTCGAAGGACTCACTTCTTTGGAGGCGCTGCAAGCTTCTGAGCAGCTCAAGCCTTTTTCTTCGCAGCTGCCGAGACCCTCAAATCCTGGAATACACTGCTGTGCGACCCCCCAGCAACAAGGAAACAGCCGCCACGTAGCCGCGAGTGTCCCGTCCACACCTGCACCCTGGCTGACAGCTGCGCGTGCGCAATGATGCCTTGCCCGGAGGAGCCGCAGAAGGTACAAAAACTGCGAGAGTGTTCGGATTGATAGGTGTTCAATGTAGGCTGGCCGCCAGCGGGGGGGAACTTTAACTTCTTGGGGCAGTACGCCTTGCGCTTGCGAAGGGTATGTGACTTCCTGGCTGCAAATACAGGTCTCCACAGTCTGTCTGCATTGTCTCTCCGGCCCCGTTTTGCCAAGTCCCGTGCCCCGCGAAATTGCGACGAGCACTGGGTCAATCTCGATCGTGGTAACCTGGAAAAGAACCCAGCGCTGAAGGGCATCGCCGAAACACGCGCAACTGGCTAAATAAGGCGAGTGAGAAAAATGGTTCGTCGGTGCGCTGCTCTGCTATTCACGTGCCGTACAATCTTCTGTGCACGATACGGAGACGGGCAGATGCAGCAAGTAATTGGCACACACACACACACACACCTACACCTCTCCAACTCAATGGATAGAGTCCTGCACAGGGCTGGCGGCCGCAACCGAGACGGCAGAGAAGCCGCAATATGTCCCTATCCTGAGTTTCATGTGTTTTTTGTTAATGGGTGTTTGATGGTGCTTGCTTTTCTTTATCTATTTTTATGGGGAGGGAGTATGGAGGAATCATGGAAATAACTACAGCTCATCTAGCAGAGGGGAGAGACCCTTCGGGTTTGTTGCAACCGGGCTGTGGCCTCATCTTTCCCATAGATCGGCTCAGGCATGCCAGAAAACCCGCCCCAAAAAGCAAAACGGGGGGAAGCCTGGGAGTGGGAAGGGCGGGGTTTGGTTCCGGTTTGTGCCTCTTTTGGTTCGATTTTTTGGAGGGGACGGTTTAGGGATAAGGGTTCAGGGTTTTGTTGGAAACCAAGCTTATGCCAGAACTCTCCAACACCTCGAACGCCTCCGAGCCGACAGGTGGGGCGCCGCCGAGTGCTGCCAGCAAAGTCTCCGCCTCTGCTTTGGTTCTTGCTTTTCTGCCACCTAGCCGCTGAGCCAATTGCTGCCTTGCTTTGTTGCGTTGAAGGACTTCAAACTCATGGATCCTCGCCTTGTGCGGTGGGGAGGGGCCGTGGTTGGAAAATGGAAGCTTACTTGGCTTAGCTTGAAGCCGCAGGCTGTCCGTTTGCCAACATCGCATTGCCAAAAATGGTTGTGCTTTGCTGTTGCTGATTGCCACTGCCGTTGTCAACCCGAAGTGCACGGCAAACTTGCACGCCCATGCGCACACACACACACACACACACACACACACACACACCTTGGCAGACTAGGTTGGCTGCTGGCGCAGTATGGCAAACGCGAAATCTTGGACTCCCAGACTCCAAGGTAGGCAAGTCAATTTTCACGTCTGAAGCTTCGCAGGAAAGCAGAAAGATCTTCGTTGGCGTGCCAACCTTCTGCAATCCGCTGGCCTGCCCTGAAAACTCAGCGCAGCCAAGCCCGTAGCGTAGAATCAGGGTGTCCACAAACACCCCTCCGAAGACCCTTCGCGATGTCACGCTCGCTCTTTCCGACTCAGGAGCTGAGGGATAGGTCGGATAGGTCGTAGTCCAAGATACGCACCATGTCTGCGATGCAATGCTTCTTCTGTCACAAGGAGCCAGCAATCCGTGACCAGCCAGGGCGAAGTGAAAACTTGTGGAGATATGTGGGGTACAGTCTTTTGGGTTTGCACAGATGGCTTGTACATGCATCTCATCACAAACACGATGATGCTGCAGGTACATCCCGGAAGCGTCTTTCCAGGATATCTCCACAGAAAGGTTCTGTCATGGTGGGTGGATGACTGTGGATCTGTGCATCCACCCTCTGCCATCGTTCATCCACAGGCACATTGTGGAATGCGGCAAGAACTGCACCGCTGTCATGTCCGAAGTACAAACCACCCAACGAAAGTACCATTTGTATGTCGGGTTCCCACACACACACACACACACACCTGCAAAACCCCACTCGCCTTGCTTCCGCCGGCGAATTTCGCCTCAACTGCTGTGAGTTTTGTCGGGCTGGAATTGTTAAACTCAGATTGGGGCTCTTCAGAACTGGGGCCGACAGGGACTTTTGGCTAGTGGCGAGTGTCCACCATTGACACTTCAACTGTTCAGAAACCTTACAATTCCTGAAAATCCGAGTTTATCTGCCAATAGCTGTCTATCTCTACGGACTTTGGTTCATGTAATTGCAGCACTTGGACAAATCACGCAAAGCAATAAACAACAACAACCAAAAAGAGCAACATCGCATCTTACACCTGGCGGCCCACGCTCCAGCTTCGCCAAGCTCTTGGCCAAAGTCTGCCATGGCCTCTCTCTATGGGCACGCGACGCACACCTAACTGCTAATAGGGGGAGAAAAAGCAAGAAAGGGAGAGGTAGAGGGAGAAAGAAAGAGGTAGAGAGAGGTAGAGAGAGATGGAGAGAGAGGGAGGGAGAGAGCGAGAGAGAGATTGAATCAAAAACGCAAGCCAAACGACCGCGCTCGGCCTGCAAGATGGCCTCGGGGCTGGGCTCCGCCATGATGGCACGACGCATCAGGGACAGCTCCTGTGCGGGAAGGGCGCCAAGCTTCTTCAGCTCCATTCGTTTGGGTCATACTTGGGCATTGAGGACCAGCCTTGCCAACCCTGACATCCACTACTAAGTGCTGGGTCACGCTGAGTCACTAGCCAAGTTAAGAAGCCTTCTCAGAACTGCCCAGAGGTCCAAAGGCCCGGCCTTGCGATACGGCGATGCTGACCTCAACAATGATGTCGGGTGTATAGGGCTTCAAATCCCTAACCGAAGCCTGGCCTAACTTCATCCAGGCATAAATTAATTACAGCATATATACTGCAGATAGTAACGCCCTGAAACGGTGACACTCCTGAAGTTTCGGCCTTCAAGCCACTAAGCAGGCCGGGATGCGCTCGAGAGAGTACCCCAATGTTCGGTCGAACCAGCTGAGGAGGAGCACTCGGCCCTGCAGCGCGGATTTGCCCCGGTTCTGCTCTCCCCTCTCAGACTTGTTTTCGGCATAAGGGCGAAGGTCGAGCATTAGCACAAGGCCAAAAAGTATAAGCAAGTGTTCTGCAAGAGGGCCTGGCCAACCTGCTCAGAACTCAAACCACAAAGGATGTCTTGGTATCAACCACCCCGAGATCTTGAACTCTCATCTCACATCTACGTGGCACCCTCACCCAAGAGGGCTAAAGAACGACTGACTCCGACCTCGAAGTGCCGCAGCCACTTCTGCTGGGAGGGCTGCAGCAACTGCGCAAAGCGGGACTTCTGGACTACTAGGCCGCAATCCTGAACTCCTGAAGATCCCCCCAAACCCTGATTCTCAGAAGTTTGGCCACACTCACACGTTTTCATGTCCATCGAAATGCTGAGAGAGCTGTTCTTGAACAACATAATTCCTATGTTCTCGCCGTGGTTTGGGTTCCTGACCCGAGGGTTGAGGCAGTTTGGGCATATTCAAGTTGATCTGAGCCTGGACCTGGCAAAGCTCACTTTCTCCAGACCAAACGGGAAGCTTTCTCCATCAATCCAAGATGCTGTCCGACAGGATCTGGCGTGCAACCTCCCATGGGAATGCAGCCCAGTAGTTGCTCCGGCAAGGGCTGCGGAATGAGAGGTTGACGAAGTTCGGTTGCTCAACCCGAACGCCCTGAGCCCGCTAGCCTAGTCCCATGCCCCAACAAGGTCCCCCACACCGCACAAAGTACGCAACACCAGCCAAGGGGGCAAGTTCAGGACCGTCCTGGAAACCCGATGCAGGCTTATAGGTCTCAATTTGGGATGTTCCCCCTTATACTAACAGTTCTTAATAGGGTTTGGAATAGGGGGGCACGTTAATCCCTAGGAAGGACTGTTGGTTTAAGGGGGAGCATCCCAAGTCTCACTGCTCTTCATGGCTTCAAAGCACCCATCATGGGGCCTCACCCAAGCCTTGCTGCTCGCAGGACATCAGCAATGCCTCCGCAATTTGGTCACTTAAGCGGCCCACCATTTGAGAGCAGGGGTTTGGGGTCTAGGGGCTTCTAGGGGGGAAGTATTCCCCGTTAGGGTTCATCTTCTCTGCCTAAGTGGCTGCAGTGCCAGAACCCAGGCCATGATGCGGCTGCAGCGCCAACGCGAGTTCCCACTGGTCTGCCTGACTAGGCTCTGACACAGTATTCAATTTCTGGCGCAATACGGCTGCATGGTTACTCTGATGCCCCACCGCCCAGCCCAGGAAAGCTCCGTCCGGGGGCAACTCTGGAGCTGGCCTCGGCCAGCGTCGCAACCGCCAGGTCCTCGACATCTGCCTGGGCAGCCCAATGATTTCGAAGGATTCGTGTGCTTGACTTGTGGCTATCTTCTGGGGCACCTCGTGTTTTGATAGGCAAGCGCAGGGCTGCAAGGGATCTGCATGTTGCAATTACATGCGTGTCTGATGAAACTTCTTGAGGACCACAACCAGTACAGAAAGGGCTACATAGGCTACATAGACATAGCCCCCCTCCATGAATTTAGCGCCCCTCAAAAAAGCAGCCTATCTGAAAGCAGCACCTAGTTCGGCCACACGCGTCCTTTTCACAAAGGGCAGACCCTCGCCGTCAATGAGTCTCATCGCCGCACTGCATCTTGAAATGCACTTAATGCACCGTGGACACAAGCGTTTCAGATTCTGAGTCCACAATCTCGATTGTTAATCGCGACAGCCTTACAGATATTGCCCACTTCCTCAAGGGCCCATTTGCCCCTAGTAGCACTTTGCCATATGCTGCCGGCACACAATGACCGACCACCCAGCTCTGGATAAGTTGCAATGCTGCAGCTTCGCTTGAGTTCAAATGAGGCTGTAGGCCACATCTAGCGAGTTTCTTTTCCTGCTATTGGAGTTCAGGGCCCACACCAGCTTCCTAGAGCACGTGCCCGTGATGTGGAGGCCGGCTCAGCACCGCTGGCGGCCATGAAGCCAGAGCCTCCTCGGCAGCTTTAGGGCCTTTAGGGGGCACTTGTGGGGCCGTTAGGGGGCCTTTGTTGGCCCAAGGCTCTCTTGAGCTTCTAAACGGGGGCGAAAGGACTGTAAGGACCTGAGATTGACATGTTCCTTGGGTGCCCTTCTGGCTTCCATTGCACTTTTTGCCTCCCGACCCTGGACTCCCTCCCTCCCAGAGTCCTGACCCACACAGCCCAGAGTCCCACACAAGTTCAGGGTCTACACTTTCGGGTGTAGGGTGAGGACGCCGAACATCCTCCCCCCCCCCCCCCCCAACCACGCAGCCCACGTTCCTTGGCGGGGCCGCCAGCGGGTAGCTCAAGCAGCTCCACCTGCTCAAACCAAGGCCGACACATCCCTAAGAGCATTCATGCCCACTCATGGTCCGAACGGCTTCTGGGCTTACTTATCTGCAACCCAGCCGCTGAGCCGTTTGCTCTAGTGCTTCGTAGCTTACCCACACATTGGTTCTGAACCCTCTCTTCTTTGTTCTGGCACAAGTCAAAGGTCGAGGGTGTCTGGGCTGCCCGGCCTTTGTTCTCGCTGCTTCAGAGCTGCCACTTCTTTGGACGGCAGTGCCGGTGCAGGAAAACTGGCTGCTCTCCTCCGGCCTGCTTCAGAAGGGGAAGTCCTCGTAGAAAATCTTGATACAGGGGCCTGAACTAATAGAACTGGGTTTTGGTGGCTATTTTCGCATAAATTTATAACGACCATAACGGAATACTGTTCGTAGATATTCCGACCCCTTTAGTGCTTCAATTCTCTCTGACTTTGCAAATTTCTCCCGGAACCTCGTGACATGCATCTCGGAAGACACAACCGCGCATTCTCCATGAAGAACTTGCTGGCGAGTGCTCATAATTACCTCACTTAACATTACAACGCTGAGCTAAACCGACGTATGCTCACTTGGAAGCCTACCCTTCCTTGGACGAACCCCCCACCTCAGACTCGCAAGCTTCTCGATGAAGATCTTCCGATTTGGCCGGCCTATGTCACCTGAGGTTTATAGAGCTGAAGGTTCGGGTGAGGGCCGTAAGCGCGTGGCTTCATCTTGGTTTCAACCGCTTAGCCAAGCCATGCGGTGGGCCTGAAACGGCTTTCGAGGGAAAGGTTGGCTGTGTGGATTGAAGCAGATCAACTTCTAGGTATGATTATGAACTGCTCAACCCTTTAAAACCCCAAAACATTGAAGTACGGACTGAGGGTGGGGCCTGCTTCTCGACAACAGTGGGGTGTGGGGTGGGGGGGTGGGGGGCTTGACAATAGTGTGTTCCACGTGCTGCTCAACAACAGCGAAGTGTGGTGGGGTGGGGGGGGGGCTTGATAATGGCGTGTTACGTGCCCCCAACAACAGCGGGGTGTGGTGGGGTGGTGGTGGTGGTGGTGGTGGTGGTGGTGGTGGTGGTGGTGGTGGTGGTGGGGGCGGGCTTGATAATAGCGTGTTCCACGTGCTGCTCAACAGGGGGTGGAAAGGACGTGCTTCTCGACAACAGTGGGGTGTGGGGTGGGGGGGGGGGGTTGATAATAGCGTGTTCCACGCGCTGCTCAGCAACAGCCAGATTTGTGTTTTCCAGTGCTTTGAGCCGCCTCTGTACGCAAAAAAAGTCACAAGTGAGAAGCAGCTTTTTTCAAAATGTCACAGGAGAGAAACAAGAAAAAGTCACAAGCGAGAACAAAAAAAGTCACAAGCGAGTAAAGATCCTTCTTGGCCATCCGAAGCGTGCACGCAAGGTGTGCACTATTCTGCTCCATGCGCCGACATGAAACTGATTGAATTGGGCAAAGTAGGGTCTGCTAGCCAAGAAGCACTTGAGCCATAGCCTTTTACTAAACACCGAACCCTAAACCCTGAACCCTACTAATATGATCCTTTTAAACCGAATAGGGGGAAATACAACATGTCGCAAGGGCCTACCTACGTATAAGCGCACAAAAAAAACCTCAACGCTTGGCTGAGTGTCTGATTAGGACCGCGCTGGTCCGCTTGCGGGCTTCCAGAACGCGCTGCGCCATGGCCTGCACCGTTTTAGAACTTCAGGACTGCATAGGACTAGCATTCATGTGTCTCTTGGCGGCTGAATTTTCGAAAGAATCAAAGTTTGGGAGGGGTTTAAGTTCCCCAGGCAAGGTCCACAGGTCACGTACTCAAGAGCTGTGAGGTTTAAGCGGGCAGCCGGTGGGGTATTTAGAGTTCCGGTGTGCGGAAGAGTTTTGCAGTTACACTGCACCAAGACTTTCCAAGTCTACCCTACAAAATCTGGCCTCCGCTGTCTGCCTCTCGTAGAGGACGTCGGAGGCTAGGACGAGGTCTGCCTGGCCAGCACCGTCAGAGATCCTACTGCTCGGCAATGCTGGCTCTGTCTTAGTAACTATACTCTACGGGTAGTTCTCTAAATTCGGGTCCCTGTTTTGGGTCTCCTCGAAAAGTACGGCACCCTGAAGCCCATCAGCTGGCAGCTGGATCTGTCCAGATTCCTTGGAGTAGTGGATTTCTTCGACCCATCTGAAACATGTACCGACTTTACTCGTGCTTGTGAAGATATTTCGACAAGTAGTTCTTAAATAACATCTGCCTTTGAAAACAGTCAGGAACATATATTCGGAGCGTATCCTAAAAATAGCGGCTTTCTGCAGCAGTTTCTGAGTTTTTTGTAAGACTCCACCTCCTCCAACCAAACCCTAAACCCAGCTAAACACCAAAACACGCTATAAACCATCTTTAAACCCAACATCTGGGACGTTCCCGTTTATACTAACAGTCCTTCATAGGAATTATCATGCCCCCTACTGTTAAGGACGGACATCCCAAACCCAACATCTCTTAACATCAAAGACTCGGCTCCTCCGGAAGTGGCTCTTCGTGTTCGCGAAGGTCCAACAGTTGGGTCTCCAAACGGGAGGCCACGCCCAGACGCGAGGCGGACTCCTCACAAAGGTGAGACCTAAAACCCCAGACTTATATACAGAAATATATGTATATACATATGTATGTATGTATGTATGTGATATATATATATATATATATATATATACATATACTATAATGTTCTATACATACCTTTATTATAAGAAAATAACTTGTAATTACCTATTTCTATATGTAATAGATGTAGAATCATGGTCCTTTCATGGGCTTCGGGCCATGTGTTTTTACATACTTCGGGGCAAGCTCCGTGCTCACAAGCTGAGGCGAGCCAGCTCGAGGGTCCAGGTTAGCAGCGCTCTGCACTCGGACTTCTCTTTCTGACTGCTACTGTAGACCAGCTCGGGCAGTTTGTTTTTTCTGGTGATCTCCGAATATCACAGCCGCCGCAGTTCTCCTGAAGCAGCTGCAACGGAAGCTCCCGGAAGTCCGTGGCGACCACCTCTGAAACGCACCCTCGCCCTGAAAGCGGCACGACCTTAAGACCCTAAACCTAGAAGCAGCTCAGGGCCCAAACCATGAAGCAAGTTCTTCGCGCGGTAGATATGTGTATATACTTATATATGCAACTGGGCAGCGTGGAGCACTCGTTTCGAGTTTCAGGGTGATGAGGGCTTGGGCCTTCGTGAACCTCCAGGGCCTCCTGCACACGAGATCCCCTGCCAAATGCAAAGCCCGCACATGTTTATGGCATGTGTGGTGTATACAGCGCATCTGTATATACACATATGTATGGTAGACATGGTATGTATGTGGGTACATGCCTGTGCATCTGCACATTTGTGCTGATTTGTGCCTTGCTTGATTCATCCTGGCCTGAAGCGTCGTGGCCGCACCATCGCAGCTCCAAAAGCAAGAGCTAGAGACCCTAAACCTTAAACCCGAAACCCTATAAACCCTAACCCTAAACCCTAAACCTTCCGAAGCCTCCATGCCCAAAGTCAGCAGCGCAAGGGACGCCAGCCCGCAGCCACAACCCAACTCCAAGGCGCCTTGAGCGAAACAACACAAAACGTGGGGTTCGAGAAAATGTGAGCGTCCCCCCTACCCAGATTCCCCAACTCCACATATTTCATCCACCCTAAGCCTATGGCCCTAGAGCTCTCAAGTATGGGGGGGTTAGGGCTTCGGGTCTTCGGGGCTTCGACTCTCACACTCGCGCGTTAGCTGAACTTTCGGCCACTCGGGAAGTACCCATGATATTTCGATGCTGGGGGCTGAGGGTTTCTGGCGTTCAGATACCCCCACCCCTTTACTCGGAACCTTGGGTGCTGAAACCTGTCACGGGGTCTTGGGGGTGGCTTTGGGCGCATTCAGAGATGATAGATGGCCCAGGCACGCAACCGCTCTCCGCGACCTGCCATGCGGGTGAGGAGACCCTAAACCCTAAACCCCAA